GTCTTTCCCTTCAACTCTGCACATGTGTCGAACACGTGCTTCGTGTTCGTGCTGTCCATATAAGCCAGCTTGACTGCTGGAATCTTGTCACCCAGAGCTACTGGCGCCATCGCTGCCACTCAGGAATGCCGTATCTAACCCTCTTCCCCCTCTCGAAGTCTCTTGCAAGGGCAAGGGCAAGGGCAAGGGAGGGCACGGGCAAGGGCAAGGGAGGGCACGGGCAAGGGCAGGGACAAGCACGGTCACCCTCAACGTGGCGGGCGCTAACTAGCATAACCCTCAGCGCAACGCACTCTGTAGCGCAACGACCCCGCCACCCTGCACCCGTCGGCTGCGATCAAGCATTTATCTCCTTTTCCGTTTGTCCGCCCGGGGGCCAAGTCCCACTAGCCGCGTTCAGTTTCCTCAAAGCCCCAATCTGGAGGAAATCGCGTTCAGTTTCCTCAACCGCACCTATCCCCAAACACGTCCAGATTTGGGCGTTGAGGTAACTCAAACCTGGGTAGTGGGACTTTGGCCCCGGGGCCGAGTTCTGCTTCATTTTGGACCGTGTTCCGCAGCCCGTGACGGTTGGATGGAGTAGTGCATATATATCAAAGAAAACGATCGAGTGGTGTTCGACCATTGATCCTTCACGGCCGTCAGATCGAGCACAGACCCTTCAGGGCCATTCTTCGCCCACGTCAGACACCTCCATGGGGGGTTGGTGGGGGGTAGGGGGAGGTGCAGTGACTGGCCATTGCTTGGTGCTAGCAGCGCCTATTTCCCCCATTGGTGATGCCTGCCCACCCCTCGTCACCGTGATGAGGGACTGGTACAGCCTTGCTCTCACACCACAGCTGTGGTGCCAACCTACCCGGTGGGCTGGGGAGAGATCCGGGTTGGTTGATGTTCCCCCGTACTATACACTGTGCCACGCAGCCAGGGTAAAGTAGAAAAGTAGTTGTAGCGGGGAAGCGGCGCTCAAAGCCTGCGAATAGCCAGTGCGAATAGCCTGTATCGATAACACGGTGCGACACCGTGGGTAGGCATGCAGGTGGCATTCGCCGACGGAGAATTTTTTATTTTTTATTTTTTTTTATTTTGGCCGACGGAGAAGCCTGGATACTGTTCTTGGCCCTGATGGTACGTTATTTCTTTTTTCGTTTTTTTTTAATATTAGCTAAGGAAAAAAAAAAGGAAAAAAAAAATAACACAGTTTTTTTTAATATTAGCTAAGATAAAAAAAAAGGAAAAAAGAAATAACACAGTTTTAATTGACCTCGCATTGCCCGCGAAAGCCTTCGAATCAAAAAGCGTAAAGCTTGCGAAAGCCTTCGAAAAGCTTACGACTGCGATAAAATGAAAAACGGGAAAAAAAAAAAAATCCAAAACCGGGCTTTCGAAAGCCTATTGGAAAGCTTCCCTCTCTCACAAACTTTTTCATGCATGAAAAAAGAAAAGAAAAAACAAACCCCAATCCATTCAGAAAAAAAAAACGAACCCCGTAGCAGCCACACAACTCCGTGTCCGACTTATGTGGAATCTGATGAGATATTAATAAATAATCTATCTCAATTTTAAATCTTTTTTATTCCTTCAGAAAAATGAATCCCTCCCAGCGCAAGTACACATGCTTTAGGACAAATCAAGCAAGAATGGCTATAGACCTGATCTTAGTCTCCGAGGAATTAGAAGGAGCTCTGCAGGTAGCTGAAATATTTCCCCGTAGCCCTCTCCTTGGTCTAGACCACGCAATGTGTGTGGCGTTTCTATCCTTTGGAAAGAAGCCAGATCAAGGTAGAGGTTTCTATAAACTTAACACAACTCATCTTAAAATAGAGATGTTCATATCTTACCTCAAAGATGTGTGGTCCTTTTGGAGAGAACAGAAGGCCAAAATACAAGATGACGTCAAGTGGTTCAACAACGGCTGAGTCTTTCTAGGACGTAAATGCAATGAATACTCAAAATTATTAGCAGTTGAACGACATTCTTCTGAAACAAGACTATATCAGCGTATTCAAGAATTACAACTCTTAGAAGTTGATGATAGTGAGCTGGAAAAGAATGAAGCAACAGCTCGAGAATTACAAGAATTAGATTCTCAATTACTCTCTCGTATGGAATATCGATGGCAAGGTATGAGGGTTCACGACAAAATTAGGAAGCATCAGACAGAAGGATCTATGGATGCTAGATTCTTTGCTATGGCAAGAGCCCGTATTGGAAGGACAGTCATAGAAGCATTGGCTGATCCTCGTCATGTAGATGGTCCACTTGTTACTTCGACGGCCGAATGCACAAAAATTGCAAAAGAATTTTTTAAGGATCTTTTTCTATCTGAGATTGGTGATTTCCTAGGGAATCAACGTAGTAGGGAGATAGATGACTTCCTAACACCTTTGACCAAAACCCTATCCTTGGATCAGAGAGAACAACTTGATTTGCCGATAACAAAAGATGAAGTATGGACTGCGCTGATGCTCATGGAGGAGGAAAAAACTCCCGGCATAGATGGATTACCAAAAGAACTTTGGGAGTCAATTTGGGAGTTTATCTCCCAAGACCTCATGGACTTCTATCAAGCAGTATGGGAGTCAGGCCAGATGGGGGAAATTGTGGGACAAGGTGTCTTGACACTATTATATAAGAAAGGAGATAAATGTAATATTATAAATTATCGCCCCATTACATTGCTAACAGTAGTGTATAAACTTATCTCTATGGTTTTTACCAATCGTCTGAATAAGTATATTGCTAATATCATTCATCCTTCCCAAACTGGGTTCATCCAGGGAAGGAATATTCGGGACAATATTCTGCTCATTAATGAACTCATCAAACTCTCCCGTCAGTCTAAGCATAACGCCATGTTTATTTTAATTGATTTTGAGAAAGCTTATGATCATGTTGATTGTTTTTTTTTAGATAAGTGTCTAGAAAAATCCAACTTTGGACCACACTTCAGAAGCTGGATTACAATTCTGCATAGAAACGCCACAACAAGGGTTATGGTTAATGACAATGTGACACCTCCCATTGAACTTCAGAGGTCAGTAAGACAGGGGGACCCAATAGCTCCCCTCCTCTTTGTGATCATTATGGAAGCTCTTGCAACTAACCTAAGACATCACAAAGACATAAGACGTATTCAGATTTCTTCTATCCCAGAGGATGCTATCCCATTCTGCTCTCTCTTTGCAGATGATCTCTCCCTGATGGTTGATGCATCACAAGAGAATTTGGATGCAATCAAGAGGCTTATGAACATTTTTTGCAAACTTTCTGATATGAAAGTAAATTGGGGTAATAAAACATTGGGATGGTGGATTCATTACCAAGGAGTAAGACCCCCAGAACAACCTTGCATTAAATGGATTCAATCAGATATTCCCATTAGAGTCTTGGGAGTGTCCCTATCAACTACAGGCAAGCCAACAACCAACAATATTGGTATTTTGCAACAAGCTCAGTTGAAACTAGGGTTGTGTAAAGATAAACATACATCCATATTTGGACGATCCCTGATAATTAATAATGTGGTCTTAGCTTCCATTTGGTATAAATCCGCGATTTGGACCTTAGATAAAGTCACCCTCAAGATATTTCAACGTCAACTAGCAACTTTCTTATGGCATGGGAACCATGAGCTGGAAAATGTTACTAGTAGAGTTGCATGGTTATCAATAATCCAACCTAAATGTAAGGGTGGCCTTGGGATCATTGACCCTCAAATCCAAGCTATAGCCCTTTCCTTACAATGGATTAAACGTCTTTTACTTAACCCCATCACTCCTTGGAATCTACTCGCCAGTGAACAAGTTAGGAGGTTAGCACCGCCTACACCAGATGTGATAGACCCACTTATGTGAATCGAAAATCGCTCCTGGTCTCTCCCAAGGAGGTCTCCAGTGGATCCTCACCATCAGGATCTCCCAGATAGACAAGCAGCCAGGAGTGACATCTGCAAGGATCCCTTTTTGATCACATTGATGAAAAATGAAGGAAACTTTCCCTACCGGATAAAGTACCCCCAGAGAGATGGGAGGAGGTATGCCAACAACCCTTATTTAACAATACATTTATTAGAGATTCTCATGGGTGTGTTCTTCAGTGTATGGATGCCCCTAGAAAAGGATGGATCAAGAGAGGAATTATACATATTAAAGACTTATGGGACCATGCAATTCGAGATTGGTTCTCAGCCTCTGACCTCCAAGATCGCTTGCGCTATTGTCATCATCAAAGTTATGCTCTAGAGCAAATAATTGATATAATCCCCCTGGATTGGGTTAGGATTTTGAGAAAAGGGCCTAAGCTTCTTCTGGGGGACTGGGTGACAATCCATAATAATAAAGGGATCGTGGGGAATATAATAGAGACTCTTAACTCAGAGGATATCCTCATATCTATCTCAAAGATACAAAAGGATGGATTCCTTAATTCCAAGGTACAAGATGAAACTAGGTGGTGTAAGGCTGACCAACTTTTTCGTATTAGAGTGTTAAAAGTTAATAATAAATGACTTTCCTTCAAGCCAGACACACCAATTTCTCATCTTCTTTTCGATCCGCAGAATTGGACCTGGTCCTGCCCAGGTAATCAACGGAGTTCATACTCTAGATCCTTGCACACTCTATCGGTTAAATCCACCTACAGAATGCTTTTCCCCAGGATTAAATTAAAAGATCGCATTGAAAATCGTTGGATGAAGAATCTTAACATAGGCAAAGATGAATTGAGAACGATCCAATGGTTTCAAACTTGTAAATCTAAACCAGCAAAGGTAGCCTCCTTACAATGGCAAATTGTTCACCGATGCCTTCCAACGAATGATTGGATCATTGACAGGACCTCATTAGAACAAAAAAGTATCGCTCAACCCTGGTGCAAGTTTTGTAAATCTGCATTCCCATCCAAGCTCATACCTGAGGCAATTGAGCACATTTTTCTCCAATGCCCAGGGTCGGTCTGGCTTTGGCGGTGGTGGGATAGGATTTGGAATCAATTGGGCACCACCCTCCCCTGGCCCTGGGCATGGAAAGCCATCCTCCTGGAAGATTGGCACCCGGAGCAAGTCGATGAGTTCACATTTAACCTGTTCGTGATTGGTAGAAGAGCAATTACTTGGGCAATCTGGTTAAGAAGATGTACTTATGAAATGGAAGGCGCTCGCCTGAATGACCCAGAATTTACTGAGAGTATTAAACTACTTGTTCAAACAGATCTGATTATTAAATGGAAAAATGTAAAAGAAAAAATCCACTATCTATCATTACAAAATGAGATCTGGTATCATATTAAACAATTCAATAGAAGCTGGCTTGGGGGGGATCAGGGAGGGAGGCTGGGGAAGGTGGTGTGGGAAGGAGCACATGAAGATTCACAAGGGTGTTTCCAAAGGAATTACCGATTGGTCTTTAATGATTGGAGTGATGTTGATTCTGCTATACCTCTAAGACCTTTAT